GGGGGGATGGGTTAGCCTGGTGATGGGTATTAAAGAGGGCACGTACTGAATGGAGCACAGGGTGTTATACGCAAACAATGAATCATGGAACGCTATATCAAAAACTAATGATGTAATGTATGATGATTAACATAACATGATAAAATAAAATAAAATAAAAGAAGAAGAAGTAGTATATATTCCAGGGGCACTTGGGTGGCTCAGTTGGTTAAGTGTCTGACTCTTCATTTTGGCTCAGGTCATGATCTCAGGGTTGTGGGATCCACGCTCAGCATGAAATCTGCTTATCCCTCTTCTTCTGCTCCTCCCCCCACTTATGCTCAATCTCTCTCTCTCTCAAATAAACAAAATCTTTTTAAAAAATCTTTAAAGTAGTATATATTCTGGTATATAATTATAGAGCAGATTTTTATGATCTCCTTTCTAAACTTTAAAATTTGATTTGCTAAGGGAATAAAAAAATCAATCAATCCTACTTAAACATACTTTAGAGAAGGCTTAATACAAAATACAATATCAAATAATGAGATCACAAAATGCAGCACTAATGAAAGATTAGGGCAAGTAGGCTAAAAGTGGGGAAGAGTATGTTTGATGGCTACACTTCTCAGATTTTCTGGGATATTCCAAATTCCAAATACCCTGTCCCACTCTTTCATCAATTCTTGAGATGACCTAGGGATTTCAATAATCAGCATGCAAGTTAGAATTTCCATACAGCTTTTTATATCCAAAAGTAACATAGACATCTTTTTGAGAGCATGAATTCTGAGGATTTGATACAAAATATGAAGTAAATGTGGAAAACACAAATCCAGCAGTGCCGAAGCAAAATGAGTTTTACAAGAGGTGTTGATAAATCACACTTAATGGTTGACAAAGAGAAAAGCAGTCCCTGGCATCCAGGAGCTGGCCTGGCACCCACACCTAGGTTGTGGTGTTCTCCTGCTGAGCATTAACAATTTGAAAGAACACAAACATCAGACTAGACCACTTAGTGACCAAGATGGATCAAGCCAAAACAATACCCTCTGTAATTGTGTGGAACACAAATGCATGAACACAAAAATTACTGTCCCCACGTTCTGGCTAATATGAATTTACCAATCACAACTTTGCTTCACTCTGTTCTTCTTCACTTCTAGTTAAGAATTACGATATTCAGTAATAGAATTACTCCTACTTTCTGGGAGCAGCCATTCCAGAGCAAAGCATCATTTCCTTGGACCCTCCCACAATCACCTAAAACAAGGCCACGTCCCACAATAAGTCTTCTCCAGCACCCTCTTACCAAGAGATCCCACAGTTTGTCATGCTCTGCATTCTCTATTGTTGCAATGAGTAAATACTAACTTTGTTCAAAAACAGGTGTGGTTCTAGTGGTCTTTGGCTGAAGGGAATTGATACAGTAAGTCTAGATACACTGTATCCCAACAGAGAAAACAAAATGTGTTCATTTAGTTCATTCATACCAGCTAAAATATATTTCTTCAAAGGATACAACAACTAAAAATGGGACCAATAGTTTTATGTACCAGCATTCCAGTACTATCTCTACCTCTCTCTCTTCTTAATTTCTAAAAACAGTTGCATTAGGAAACCATGGTAAGTGGAAAGTAAAATAATCATATACACTGAAACTAGGAAATAGAAACAGTACACGTATAAATTCACACAAAATCAATCACAAGAAACAGGAAAGGCTGAAATGAATGAAAGGATGGCATGAATATATCAATTTATCAAACCACAGTATATAGGATAAGTTTTAATTTGAAATTTAACAAGTAAGAAGAGGCCACAGAACACTTATGTAAGAGATAGAAGCATTGTGTGTATTAGTAGTAACAAGAGATACTTAATCACCCACTTTGAGAAACTAATCTTATATTGACTTGATGCCTCTCATCCTATAATTGACCACATTTGATGATTCTTACCTACACCATGTGAACTATTATAGACTAGATAAAGTAGTGCTTCTCAAACTTTACTGTTCATAGCAATTACCTGGAGATCTTGTTTAAAAAGCAGATCCTGATTCAATAGTTTTGGAGTAGAGCCCAAGATTCTGCCTTTTTAACAAGTTCCCCAGGGATACCAATGCTTCTGGTCTAAGGGATCATACTTAGTAGAAGAAGTATAAAATTTAAATGTTGTAAGGGAAGGCTAGGAAGTTTCTAGGGCCAATGCTCATGCCTGAAATCATTGCCTCCTCAACTGTTACAGCCCATGACAAGCCCCAACACTTCATCCCGAGGGGGTTGGCAGTCAGTAGTTGTGAGTTCTCTGGAAGTCTAAGTCTGCTCTGGCAGTAGTGAGGTAACTGAATAATGCAAGTGCTTCCTGCTGTATGAGCCACTATTCATACTCCATCAGAGCAAGACCAGAATATTCCTTTTCTGGAACTGGAGGCAAAAGGAACCTTCCCTTTATTAAGATCTTTAATCCCTGCCATCTTTGTCTCTTTGTAACCCTACAATCCTCACTTCCCAACATATTCTCACTCCCCAAAGCTTGGTTCAACTCAGGCATTCACATTTCATAAGTGGTTTCCTTGAGGTTTTGGTCAGTTCACTCTTGAATAATCATAGACATCAAAAAACTACAGGCTGCTCAAGGGAAACCTAGCTGACCCTATGCCCCCAAGGTTAATAACCCAAAAGCTAAGAGATGAAAGGGACCTAAGAGTTCATCTAGTTTAGCTTGGTTTGAGAGCTGTCGCCCTCACGAATGATATGGAAGTCAGGCCAGGCACGGCACAGTGCAGCAGATAAGCCGTCACACAGGTCCACAGACTAGTTGTTGCCCCGTAATCACGGCACAGCTGTGCCTATGGGATGGCTCAGTATGAAACTCTACCCCGAACCCAGATTTTACATTCAGGTGACCTGAAATGCTGAAGATGTTTTTGCACCCACATTCAGTAATTGCATTTGGTTTTCAGGGTCAGTGACTAGGGGAATGAAGCCTTAGAAAGACCCAATTTGAGACTTCTCTGGATTGGTTGACAACCATAGCCAACTTTCAAGTGTTTTCCCACTTGAGAGGAGAGACTCTAATAGACATGCTTACTTCATGTGGTGCCATCCTTTTATCTTTTGCTGAGATCTGAGCCCATCACATGTAACAGAGAAAGAATAATTTGACTAAAATCTGAAGGCACATTCTCACTTTCTCAAACCAGTCCTCTGCTGGAATCCTTTCTGGGGAATACCACCAAATGTCAGTGTTCTTAACTTCATTACATGAACTTCCAACCACATTACATACTACATAATTTTTACTCAAAACATCACAACTAGAAGGTTCACAAAAATTAAAATGCAAACAAGTAAAACAAAAGTCATAGAAGTAATCACCCGGAGTGGTTTCTGAGGTTTTCTTATAATTCTCACATGCTTATCATTCTTTTTAGTTGTCTGCTAGACAGCAAAGAAAAGATGTACAAAAGAGGACTTTTTAAGTAAGGAAATATGTTTAAGGGGAAGTTGTCTCCCTCATCAGTTTTAGTGGTGGAACATGGAATTCTCGGGAGAAAAAAAAGCCAGTTGCCACAGTTTACAAAAGAACAAACTAAGACCCAGGACAGTAGAGAAAAAGAGCTCAAATATATTGTTAATGGGAAAGCCAGAACTAGAATCAAGGTCCATTATTAATGCCAGGACCTGTGGTCTTTCCTCCATATCACAATATGCTTACAGATTTTAGGATTTAGCAATAACTTGCACATAGTGAGCTCTCAAATGTTCACTGAATATTTTTGTTGGAAAAAAAGCAAGTATCTATCTACAAGGGAGACATTAAGCTGATATTGCTAAGTCAGACCCATGATATGTTATTTTTGTTGCTGTTCTCAATGTCATAAAAGAGGTCTCTAGAAAATCCATGAACCAATTCACAGTTTATCTTCTAGCCACACTTCCAATTATCTATCCAGACATTAAAACACAGATTTTTAAAACAAATACAAAACCATTTTGCTTTTGCATTGAGAAAAACATGATATTCCCCTAAGTATCAAGAATGGATTATAGCTTTACCATTTACTACAAGTATTTTGATAATCAACTAGGGAAACTATAAAAATAAAAACAAGTTATTCAATACTGTTGGTCCAATCTATTTTTAAAAAAGAATGAAATTACCAGTTTGAGGTGGGAGAAGTTTGGAATCTTCAGATGTTTTACTTGTAGGCACAATCCATGGCTTTTCACTCGAAGCTACAGCAAAAAGAAATGGAATTCATTGAAGGTTTTTGTTTTGTTTTGTTTTCTGCTTTGTTTTGTTTTTTGGAGAAGAGAAAGGGACAGAAATAGGTTGCTGGTATGGTTAAATGACTACCAGAAGCTTGCAATAAAAAAGCACATGCTAATCCAATCCAAAGTCATTTTATATCAAGAAATCAATATGCATCTATCCAGAGAGCATTTGATTAGTGATCAGAAAGAGACCAGATTTTGGGGGTGCCTGGGTGGCGAAGTCAGTTAAGTGCCCAACTCTTGGTTTCGGCTCAGGCCTGATTTCTTTTAAAAAAAAGAGAAACCAGAGTTCAGTGTCATACTTTCAACATTTTTCAGGATAAACCCCGAACCTGTATAAAATTAACATACTTACGATTATTACATAAGTATAAAAATCAAATAGCTTTTTTCTGTTTGTTTTTAAATCAACCCCTTGTTTGGCTGAGTTAACGGAATTCATCAGTTCATTGAGGTTTGCTAAGATAGGATCCAGTAAGCGTTTCCTACAGAATTAAGCCATCACCACCCTATCTTAACGCCAGCTTTAAGGTGTTACTATTACCCAGAGTGCCCTCAGGCTTCTCAAAGGGAAAGGGTGTGTTTGCCTGAGGAAATTCTGGAAGCCTTTTCGGAGCTGCAATGAAACACATAACAAATGTTATAACCTGAGGTACGAGTAACAGAAAAGATTTTTCAAAATCTCAAGCTTGCAAAAACAAAAAACAAACACAAAAAGGCAAATTGCTTATGTCAAGTAAGGTATTGTTAGTAGTATTTCTTACTCTTGTGGTTTTGATGCTGGATACTATAATAAACTTCTTTTTCTATTTTTTATAATCAAGCTACTAAATTTGAAGAATTTGGATTGTTCTTTTCACCCTTATACTTTCCTAATTTCTTTAGTCATGTGTATGTGTGCCCTTACATATATTTCCTTTGAACTCAAATCAAGCACCAAACACATCTGAACTAAAAAATGTCCATCTAATGGAAAATAGACTTTCAGTAATTACACAGCATTATATTTAAGCTCCCACTCCAACAATTTTTGATATTGCACTCAAATTCTAATAAACAGTCTGCCAAAATAACATAAACATATCTTCTCCATCTGGAGAAACAACTGAGTAAAAAGATATTTAGGAAAAGTATAGAAAATAGTTTATTCAGTGACACAATGATTTTGAATAAAAAGAATCAAATATAATATCAAAATACAATCACCAAAAAGAAAAACCCCCAAAAGATTTGTCATAAAGACTCTCCAGGATTCTAAATTATAAATATTTAATAACAGTTAAGGGCTTAGTGTTGGGGAGCTTATTGTTCTATAAACCATGTGTCCCTTCTTTCCTATGAGGAGATAAATATGAATGAATTAGCCTAAGGATTTCTTTTAGCATGCATAAAATTTTCAAGGTAATAACACGCTGTAATGTTTAATAATTTTTACCTAGAGTGCTCAGTGGCAATTCAAACCTAGGTATTAGAATAGTTTGCAGGGTTTCCGGGGTCCTTTCGCTGAGAACTAAAATAAAGAAGAATTCGGTCAGCAACTCCCCGAGGCAGGATTTGATACTATGGCTCACACTTAATCATGGGAAGCATGCTCATAACACAGTGTGCACAGGGCAGCTGATGCCTTCATGGAAATAGCTGGCTCCCCTGGGAAAACTTCATATAGCTGTTAAAATGTGAAGGTATAGTTTCAAAGTGCGTGATGTGGCATGGAGGATCAACATCACGAGTACAAAACAACACGCATGCTGCTTTTTTTTTCCAGCAGAAGACAACAAAGCAAGACTCTTTTGGGCCAAGAAGCAGTTAACTTGCATGACATGAAATTCTTATTAAAAAGCAGGACACTTTGGGGGAGTCTCCTCAAGTTTAGTGCACACAAGACTAGGGAAGCCTACTGCAATAAACAGAAAGCACAAACACAGTCCAGATTTCCAGGTTTCCCCCACCCCTCCAAGATTTGTGACTTAAAAGACTGGCATTCTGAGTTTTTTCTATACATCCCAAGAGACTGGTAAAAGCTGTGTGTAGTCAGCATCTAGCATCCCGAGCTGCCTAGAATATCAGTCACCAGGATCAAGGCCTGTTGTTAACTCTGTAATGGAATTGGTCCAAGAAATAGGAAAGTTAACGACTGCTAGTAAAGGGGGGAAATAAAAGGTAGGGGGGAACTAAGGCATTAGGGTTACTTTTTGTTTCTATGAGCATTGGGAGTTATTTAAGAAAAAAAAATTCTTAGAATTACCCAGTGTTTTTTCTGAAAATTCTAATGCGCTAGACACAGTGGGTTTCGTGGTCCTTGGCACTGACTCAGCAGTCACTGGAAGGTAAAAAAAGACAACTTTACCAATTCAGGTAAAAATAATGAAGCAACCAAAGATCATAAGGTGTTTCTGTTGCCCTTTAGAATTAGGAACTGACACTTAAATTGACCAATTCTTTTCAAGTTAATTCAGGACTCCCTGGCTTGCCGCAGATGCCTGAGCTGACACTTCTTCCAACCCTTCCTCAATGAGCTTGGTCCACTTTCCATGTGTTCCAAAAAGCGCAGTGAGCTGACCTTGGTGAAAGCACTTATTAATCATAGTTTTTTCCTTGCCTGCCTTTTTCTTTCTTATTATTTCCAGGGCTCAGCACAATGTCTGAGGTATAGTAAGCAAGCATATGACAAATATTAAATGAACTAATAAATGGGCAAATAAAACAGTGACCCAAGGCAAAAAGGTTTATTTAGAATGATTACATAAAAGATTTCTCTCTTCCAAACTGCAGTCAACATACAAAGCTTGGAACTGGATTGTAATTACAGTAAGGACTCAAATGCTCAGCCGTGAGACACAAACACAACACTGAATAATAAGGCATGGTGTTTGCCTAAGTGTTTCTGTATAGGAAAATTCTGAAGAAGCTTTGGCAGAGAACGAAGAGATCTGTAGACTCTCCCGTCAGATGCTGTGCCAAGAGAGGAAAGTATAAATGGGAAAAATGGGTAGGATCTTTGGGGCAGAAAATAACTTGGAGTCTACTGGATCATGCCTATGCTTTTCTTGTATTGACAAATTATACTGAAATTAGAAAAATTACCTAAGAATTTTATTTGAATAGAGTATTCCAGTATCTTAGATAGTTTGTTCCTTTGTCCCAACACCCATGAAGGTGGGGGATGGAATGTCCATCTCCCACGTAGGTAGGAGCCTATATGTCTTACTCTGTCAGAAATATTCCTACTTGAATACGTTTCTTGAAATGAAGTTATTTTATTTTCCTGCCAATCTTTAGCTCTTCTGGACTGGCTATGAATCCAAGAGTTTAGTGCAAGGTAAATATCACTGATATTTCAATCTGTGGAAATTTTGTGGATTACAAAATTCACTTTAGATTGGAGATATTTTGCTAAATGCAGATTTGGGGAAATTCTTGCCAGATGTTTGTTTTACTGGGTTCTGGATGAGGTGGTACTGCTCTGGCAAAAACTCTGTGGTTCATAGAGTAATATGTTCCTGGTGGGCAGGACTTAGGCAGTTCATTTAGACAAGAAATCCTGAATGTTTGCTAGTAAAGGCTAATAAACTATGGGGAAAATGTATCCCGCATTTATTCTTTAAAGGATTTTCAACAAACTATTACATATTTCTTTGTACTAGGATTATTAATCTTCCATAGAACAATTAATTCTAATTGTTCTAAATGATTCTAGGGAACTTTCATAGTTATCAAGCTGGGGATTTGGGAGGGAATATGGCATTTTGCTAAAATGACCACTTGTGAAAGAAATGAAAAATGAGCTCATATCTTCATATAAAAGGAGAGCACATAAACCATAGTATTATATTTTAGTATAAAAATATCTCAGAATGTTGAGGTGACAACTTTCACTTAGCGTGAAAAATACAGCTTCCATATTACACATCAGGTCATATGATTCCATAGTTCCTTCTGCATTAGCTGTTTTTCCGAATGTTAAATTAAGGATCTATAATCTCTTATTGTTTGTGCTTATGATGAAAATTAATCTCCTAGTGGCCCTTCACTGAAAACAAGTACAAACTCATCAATCATTTACCATTTCAAAAAATATTTATTCTCTCAAAGTTAACGACATATGGATCTCATTACCTGTTACGGGCTGTGCTGGGAATTTTTCTACCTCTGGTGTTTTAGATTCAGCAGGTAATGCCAACGTTTCATTCTTAGCTAAAAAGTCAGAGAACAAACAATTCACCTCACTTCTTCATAACACAGTGCCCAAATATAATTCATTCAAACATCATCAAGTAACAGATTATTTCAAGAAATCTATATTGCTCTTAATTCTTCCCACCAGCCAGTCAACAAATTTATTGTGCATTTCCACCAGAGATTCTTCAGAATTCCATCTCATGAACCCTAGGTAATTCTTTAAGATTTAAATTGGCATTGGAATGAAGAAAAAAGTCACAACTCAATACTTGGATAACTCTCAAATCATTCTCACTCATAAATAAGAGTTTCTGGAAAGCACAGGTTGTATTGCAAATATTCCCTAGAATTTTGTATTCAAGTACTCCTAATTAAAAATAATAACAATGCATAGAGATTTTCCATTATTATACACAGTAAAAAAAAAAAAAAAAACCAATAGGTTAGGACAGTGAACCTTTAGAAAAACAAATAACTCACATAGGAAACTAAGATATTTAAAAATATTTGTGACCAAAAAATAGCAACAGCTATTCATTTGAGCCACACATTAACATTGATCTTTTCTTTTGGTCTCTGTGAATTCGGCATAGTGAATGAAATCGATTTTTTTCCATATCTTTTAGCCTCTTCAGAAAACTACTTAGGAAACTTTCTTCTAAAATTTAGGCATCCTTTTCAAAGAAAGTACATTCCTATACCAGAAATCCCCAATGATTAAGATATTTCCCATTTCAGGGGCGCCTGGGTGGCTCAGTCGTTGGGCGTCTGCCTTCGGCCCAGGTCGTGATCCCAGGGTCCTGGGATCGAGCCCCGCATCGGGCTCCCTGCTCTGTGGGAGGCCTGCTTCTCCCTCTCCCCCCGCTTGTGTTCCCTCTCTCTCTGTCAAATAAATAAAATCTTTAAAAAAAAAAAAAAGATATTTCCCATTTCAAAGATGCACTCAGGATGAACTTGATTCAGCTAGTTAGCTACTTGTAGTATTTTGAAAGTCTAGGGGCATGAAAGAATTCATTCATCTTTAAGATACTCTGATCATGTCAACTTGAAATGATTATAATCAGATGGGATTTTTTTTAGAGTCCTAGAACTATACGGGACTTCTTGGGTTTCTCAACTAGGGACATTTTGGGCTGGATAATTTTTTTTTTGTTAGGTCGGAGGTCGGGGGGGTCTTTCCTGTGTACTACAGAACATTTAACAGGATTTCTGGTCTTTATCCACAGGATTCCATTAGCACTTCCACAACTGTGACAACCAGAAATGTCTCCAGATACTGCCGCATATCCTCCGGGGGACAAAGCTGCCCTCTGCTGAGATTAGATCAATATCTAATCAATTCTGTCAAAGTTCTTAAAGGATGAACATCTTTTAACTTCCTTCTGTAGTTCACATCACTGTTGTAAAGACCATTTTCTCATCAGTTAACATGGGCTACAAAATATTTATTTACTTCTGAAGGACGTAAAGACAACTATAAAGTCGTCCCTTTCACAATGGTAATAGAGGCAAATCAGTTTTCAGTCTGCATTATGGAAGTCTACAATAGATTCTTCCATAGAGCTAATTATTTTCGAGAGTGTTTTAAGATGCTAGACACAGGTGTCAGAAGCGCTACCGTGCTTGCCATATCTAACGGTCAAGTGCGTGTTTTGGATTCATGTGTACATGATGTTGCACGGCATTTTTACACAACAGAAATGTTAAATACCATTGTTCAAATTAATTAAGCAGGGCATAAAGAGAAGGGACTCTCTGAAATAACTACACAGCAGTCCAGTAGAAATTTATGGTAACTTCCATTCTTAAAATTTCTAAATTTAATCAACATTTTTCTGTTGCAGTCACAGCTTTTGTTTAGAACCACTGTGATTGTTAGCATAGGAAAAAAACATTTAGATTACAGATTTTTATGAACTCTGGTCTTCTTATTTTCAAGTGTACCATGGGAAGTTTTTTTTTTTTTAAAGTGTGAGATTATAAAGTTTTTCTTTAGTGCTCTTTTCTTTTTCAGGGTCCTCTTCTCCCTCAAGACACTTTTGCTAATCCTCTTCTTCCTGTGTAATAGCCTACATTCTCAGTGGTTTCCTTGGCTGACTAGGACTATTTATTTATTTTAACATACAGATCCTATACTCTCAAACAGTACTCTGAATTACTCTGCTTTAGCTCCTTATATTAAAAACATGCCCTCAGCCGGCAATCACATTAACCTAAAATTAGGCTGTTAATGGGGGGGGCGGGGAAGGTAAACCACCTTCCCAAGAGACATTTGTATTCTTTACACATCACTAATTCCTTACAAAGGCATGCTGTATTTCTAAATATGGCATTTCAGATGTCAGAAAAAATAGTAGACAGGGAAGATAATTTGCATCAGAGCACCTTTATGTCTCTTACCAACCCACGAGCACTCACCTACACTATCTATGGACAACTGCAGTCTTGGCAAGAGCAGAGTAAAATGCCACCAGAATATGACCTAAAACCCAGGAAATTCCCTTTCCTCTTGGATTCTTCTGTACCTTTTTTCAACACAGTTGTTTCCTTTCATTTTTGGCAGGCTATGTCTTGGCTTTGGCCAACCCTCTGTATGCCCCAGGGAGGGGTGTGTGTAATACTAGCTTTCTTGTTTATTTCTCTCATTATTCACACCATGTGTTCTTAGAACAAAAGCTATTAATTTCTTGATGTCCCATGATGGGCCCCACTGGAATGAGGATATTATTTTTAGGATTCGCCCCCTCAAAAAAAATAGTACTTTTCTGAATTGCAGTGTTAAATAATTTCAGGAAAGTTTATTTCTCCCTTGCTAGTATAAAGAACTATTAAAGCAGTATCTCTTTCCATTCAAAACGGTAAACTTAAAATGTAATTTTTAAAATACAGTCTGCCAAGGTGGTATATTTGATGGATTTGCTGGGCATTTTCAAAGATACTAGCTATCAAGCTCTTCAATGCATAAGAAATTTGTCATGTGTTGAATTTAAGATGGTGTTTCCACAGAAAAACAAGTCAAAAAAGATACTTACTGTTTGCATACAATTTTTCTTTATTGAAATCACACTCAATCCTGAAAGCTTTTAGTGAATCGTATCAGAAAGATAAAAGCAAAAAACAAAACAAATGCACTGTTTTATTCTCTAAAGAAAACAAAGGTTGAATGGGTATTAAGATAGTGTGGAGAACTTTGCAAAAACCAAAAAGTTTAGGAAATATCACTCAAGACTGAAGAACAAAACATGCTTCAGTTCAAAACTGACAGTAGTGGTCTGGGGAAAACTGCTCATTTTCAACCTCCTTCACAAATTCTGTATTTTGTAGTTTTGCTGGATGGATTAGGGATCACATCAGTAAGAGAATGGCCAGTTCCTTTTATTTCCCTCCTTCCAAACAAGGTTTTCCCAAGGGCAGGGTGAGGCACATAGGCTCCGGGCAGAGAAGAGGTGAGCACAAGAAAAGGGAGCACTGGATTCCAAACATAGTTTCGGTGAGGAAAAGTTAATTTGGAAGGTTCCTGGATCTTAGCACAGCATTTAGATGTTGCAGGGTTTAGTCACAGTTTTATAGCTAAAAAAGAGGTGATCGAGTCTGATGTACAAATTAAAGAAATGATGTCTACAGTCACTTGTCTACATTCTCGGAGGTAACTCACTCTGGGACTAAGAGGTATGAATATTTCGTAATGAAAATGGAAGGATGCACAAAATCACAAAAACTGGCAAATATCTGCACATCTTAATAAAATGATGTGTAAGTTCTGAGAATTTTTCTACAATTGGTGGGACTGTTAAGTCTATCCATTAAGTGCTCTTCTACTTGCTTAAGGTTTTGTTCCTCCTTCTTCCGGTAAATTCTCAAATTAACAGCTAAAGAGAACTTAAGAGTTCACATTTTGAAACTGTTCCAATCTGATTGCCAAGGAGCTAGTCACGAGTGTACTCCTTAATCCCTATCACCCATGTAACCCATCCCCCCCCCATCTGGTAACCATCAAACAAGCAAACAGGTCAGGAGAAATTAAGTCTGAGGTCCCGGTGTGGGCAGGTCCTGTGCCTGTGTAACTCACCAGCACAGTACCAGCGACTTGCAGTTATGCCAGAGAGTAACACTTGGTAATTACGTGTTGACTGAATGTTGCCACACAGGGGCCCAGGGGTCCATTTCTGCACCCACACAAGGTGGACATTCATTTATATACGTGTGAAAGTTCTTTGCTAGTGCCTAATGCGGAGAAAACATTCTGCATTTTTTAGTTTTGTTCAATTTCTACCACATCATGCCATCTCCTTCCACATTTATCAATAGCTCAAGACTATCTCCAGAGACTGTGGAGGGGTGGTTCTCAAAGTATGGCGCCCAGGCAAGTGGCTTCAGTATCTCCTGGGTGCTAGTTAAAAAGGCAAATTCTCAGGTCCCTCACCTCATCTACTGAATCAGGAGCTCTGCGGGTGGGTCGAGCAGTCTGGGCTCACAAGCCCACCAGGCCTCTCGTGCTCCATCAAGCTGGAGATGCTGTGCTAGACAGAGGGTCCGGACTAATTTGATACTCAAATGCGGCAACTAATTTACCCCAGTGAGCACTGCAATTTTTCCCTGGGCTCCTTTTAAAGGGTTTTGTTGGGATTGTCTCCCCATAAATTGTTATGTTTTTAAAACACTGAAATTATATCAAGTTCTTTCTACAAGTAGGAGGCAGTATCAATCTCAAGTAAATAATAATTCTAACACACCTGACCTCTACATCAGCTCTCATTGAAAACATCTCATGGCCCCTCGACAGTATAACAATTTTCTAACAATCACTCTATTTGAAAATTTTACCTAAATAAATGTATGCATCTTGGATAATTTGATAAATGTTCACTTTTTAAAATAAATATAAATATATTTTATAATATATAATAACTATTTACCTACAGAATGTAATTTATATAAATACTTCCAACTCTCCAATCTCTCTGCCCCTCACTGTTTTCCAATTTTTTTTTATCATGGCAAAATATACATAACATAAAATGTATGATCTTAATTAACCTTTTTAAGTATACATTTCAGTAATATTAAATACATTCATAATGTTGTGCAACCCATTGCCACCATCCATCTCCAAAACTCTCATCTTATAAAAGTGAAATTATATCATTAAACCCTAACTCCCCATTTCCCTCCTCCCTCCAGTCCCTAGCAATCACCATTATACTTTCTGTGTATAAATTTGACTGCTTCAGGTACCTCACGTAAGTGGAATCACACAGTATTTGTCTTTTTGTGACTGGCTTATTTCACTTAGCTAATGTCCTCAAGGTTCATCCATCTTGTAGCACGTTTCAGAATTTCCTTCCTTCTCAAGCCTGAATAATATCCTATTGCACATATAGCCACATTTTGCTTACCCCTTCATTTCACTTTTACTTTTTAATTTTTTTTTAAGTTTTTACTTAAATTCTGGTTAACATACAGTATTGTATTAGTTTCAGGTGTACAATATAGTGATTCAACACTCCACACATCACCCGGTGCTAGTCACACGGAGCTAGTCACAACAAGTGTACTCCTTAATCCCTATCACCCATGTAACCCATCCCCCCCCCCCATCTGCAACCATTATTTTGTTCTCTACAGTTAAGTCTATTTCTTGGTTTACCTGTCTACTCTCTCTCACCTTTGCTCATTACAAATATGCACCCAGGATGTATTTATTTTATAACTGGAAGTTTGCAACTTTTGACCCCCTTCATCCAATTACCCCCCCCCCACCTCTGGTAACCATCAGTTTGTTCTCTATAGTTAAGAGTCTGTTTCTTGGTTTACCTCTCTCTCTCTCTCTTTTTCCCCCTTTGCTCATGTGTGCTGTTTCTTAAATTCCACATATGAGTGAAATCATATTATCTTTCTTAGTTCACTTAGCTCCATCCATGTTGTTGCAAATGGCAAGATTTCATTATTTTTTATAGCCAAGGAATATTTCATTGTGTATGGCTATCACATCTTTATCCATTCATCAGTTGATGGACACTTGGGCTGTTTCCATGATTTGGTTATTGTAGATAATGCTGCTATCCACTGGGGTGCCTACCCATTCATTTGTTGATGGACACATGAGTTGCTTCCATGCTTTAGCTATTGTGAATAATGCTAGTGTGAACATAGATGTCCAAATACCTCTTTGATAACTTTTTTCCAGTTCTTTTGGTTATATACACAGAAGTGGAATTGCTGGATCATGTCATAGTTCTATGCTTGAGTTTTTGAGGAATGGTCATACTGTTTGCCCCAGCAGGTGTACCATTTTCATTCCCATCAACAATGCACATGCCTGTCCCTTACTTTTTACTTTGAGATGCCCAAACAGCTGATTTGCTAGATTCCTTGGGTATCCTAGGATTATCAGTGCTAGTACTCAGTCACCACAAAGTTCAAATATGGAACATTGCTGCTTACCTAACTGTGTCTTGATTGCATCCGAAATCTCAAGCATTATGGATGTAGGAAGTTTCACAGTGGTTTCATTAAGGCCTGGAATAATAAGATGGACTGCATATAGAATAGGGTAAGAGAAAGAAAATGCATCATGACATAAAGTTCAGAGCATCAGATAATAGAAACTATGAAATTCTGCACTTATTTGGCTTCATCAATTTTAACTCAAACCTAAAGTTTTGGCAAAAAAATATGATCATACTTTAAACAGATTTTTTTTTAATGTTCAGAACTGAACTACAAAATCCTCTGGCTTTTAATCCATAGAATCAAAAATAGTAAAATGGCTGTTTAACATATACATTGAACAAAATACCATTATTATTAATAATTTTTAAAAGAGCAGTTCGATACAACAAGGACTCCCTCCTAACTGCACCAACGCTATGGGGCAAGTAGGATGGGTGCCATTGTTCCTACTAGGCGTGGGCTAGAGTTGTTTCTCTAACACACACTCCTAGAGGTAATACCTCTTGGCTCCTAGCCTAGCATGGACACAAGCCAGAATGCTCAGTACTGAAAGGAAATGAACCAACATCAATTTAATAGACCTGCTAACAGTGTAAAATTCCATGAGGGCCCTATTATCAAAAAATAGCCTGACCTGCTTACTGTAAGTATAGATACTAAGATCCACTCACCTAATATTGTTCCTCCAAAGGGAGTCTTATCTGGGGATTTAGTTGAAGCCCTGTGAGTAACATTCTGAATCACTGTTGAAATACAAAAGGGAACAGTGTGTTGGAAGAAAATAGGAAGCAGCAAATAGCTGTAATGTGAAGACATCTGCACTAGGGAAGCCCTAATATAACTTTTTAATTAATATAAAAAGTAACTCTTTGGGCTGGTACCCAGCCAAGGAAAGGACTGGGAAGCACAGCTCACCTTCACAGTTAACACCTTTAAGTAACGAAAGGTTATTACTTTATCATAAAGTGTTCCATTCAAATGAGCTGAAAATTTCCTTCCTAATCTCCATTCCCTGCAGCCTTCCCAAGTTAAAGAAATAGCGCAAAATGAGGCAATTACTACAGTAAATTTTAAAAAGTGAAAATGTATATTCTCAAAGCAAAGAATCTGGATTATTCCAATACTGACACTGTTTTGAGAATACACTTGAGGCACTATGTTTTCTTAAAATGAATAATTACTTTAAGTGTCTAATCTCTTCTACCAAGAACTTTCTCAAAATAATGGATTCATTTTAATAATTTAAAAAACAAAGTCAAAACAAAAACAACTGGATACTGAAATAAGACATTATAATTCTTGGAAACTGTATGTCTTTACCTAAAAGGAGCACTAAATCATAGTTTTTATTTCACTAATCCAAAAATCCTATTAATGATTTTCTTCATGTATGCCAACTTAATCCTGAACAAAGCCACACATATTCATATGACTTTTTAAAATTTAATACTTATTATAGTTGCTTTGTACCAAAAGTTTTACTTTGGTAAAACACAACCAGGGTGACTTGCCAAGACTTGGCCTATTGGTACATGAGCCAAAATAATCTATTAACTTCTAATATGCTAGACCATACTGATTTCTTCACACTTTTGCTTTAAAACAATCAGAAAAATTGAGAAAAAAAGCGCTGTTTAATTATCTCAGTGAAAAGTGTATGAAAAATAATTCTAAACTGTTAGCTGTACTAGAATTAAAATTAAAAAAAAAATAGTTCTAAACATACATCCAGAGCAGACTTGTACAAATTACCTTGTTTGATGATGGTTATTGGGATTAGCTTCCTTGGGACATATGCTGGCTGAAAAGAGAAGAGAGTCAGCTTTTTAGTTAGTTTTAACTTAAAAAAAAAGAAAAAGAAAAAGAAAAGCAAAGAACTGGAAGTAGCCCTGTGTTATTACAGTTGCTGGAAAGACCTTTATTGCATATATCTACCTCTATTTTATTGGACTCATTTGGTTTTCCCCATAAATGTCCAAAGGCTTGAAAGAAGCAGTTTCTGCAGAACTCCCATTATTTTAGTTAACCTTGAAACTGCAATGAAAGGAACTAAATCATGTGGATTGACTACTAGTTGATTTATCACTTCATTTGAGATGTGACCCGACCAAATTCTGTCTTTACATTTCCTCTCAAGAAGATGCTAAGCTACATATTATCTTTTAAAACTGATCAGCATCCATGGTTTGAGTATACCCAGCTGCAGCTACAGATAACCCGATCAGATAACAGATCTGCTGCTACAGATAACCCGACTACCATGAACTCCTGAGACCAAGCATCTCCTTGGCCAAGAAGGCAGAGCTGGGACTCAGATCCAGACATTTCTACCTCCAAATTCCATACTCTAAACCATTCTGCACATATTTATGCACAAAGGACCTCAAACCAGAAAGGCATCCTAGGGCACTATGCATTCTCCCTTCTCCCAAATTGCCTCAGACATCCCACAGGAAGTTTTGATGTCATGGAGTGGCTTGAACTAGGGACAGGTTTAGTGTTAACTTTAAAGTGGAGTCATGACTGGACAGAACTGTGAGCCAAGGACTCAAGGGAGAGCCAAGGGAGAGACATAGGAACAAAATAAGGGAAGCAAATACATAAGGAAGAATTAGACTGCGTTAAAGAGGGGAGCATGACATTGATTTGTTGATGCTTGATTTAACCTGTACCCATGATAAAGGGACCTCATGCACCAGATCTGTTAATAATCCAGGATGTGCTGGGTGAGATACTTACCACATGGGTGTTTATAGTTGTGAGCAACAGAGACTTGTTAACATGCTCCCATTTTAGTGAATAATGTGCCCATAACAAAGAAGGGCCACAATACCAAGCTTACTGTTGGCTATTTGTCTTCTTGTATTAAGGTCCTTATGTTTAGAAAACCACAAAAAATAGAAGTTTACTATTATCAGGTTTTTAAAACTATTTATAGCTATAGACTCAGTGCTATAGACTGAATTCGTATGTCCCCCCAAAATTTATATGTTAAAACTTAACTCCCAAGTGTGATGGTATTTATAGGTTGGGCTTTTGAGAAATGATTAAGTCCTGAGCGGTCCACCCTCTGAAGGAGATTAGTGCTCTTATAAAAGAGGCCCCAGAGAGATCCCTCCACCTTTCCACCCCATGAGGACACAGCAAGAAGATGGCTGTGTGTGAACCAGGAAGCAGGCTCTCACCCGGACACCAAATCTGCCAGCACCTTGATCTTGGACTCCCCAGGCTCCAGAACTGTGACAAATAAATGTTTGTTGTTTAAGCCACCCAGTCTATGGTATTCTGTTCTAGCGGCCCTAATGGACTAACACACCCAGTAATTTCCTCCATAACAATCTAGCCCAATCTAATCGAATCCTAAACTAAGGAATTAATCAAAGCTAAACACCCTTATATATAAATTATTACCACTATGCAAAACAACTACATCATCCAAAAGCAGAGCTTTTATTAAATAAACTGTTTCAAATTTTTGACATCTATTTAACAAAGTGGAAAATATGCATAATATAAATACAAAGATTACAATTATATGCACACTATAACCTAATTTTATAACATGTATACACAAATTATCAGAAAGAAATAGATCATAGGTTTTTTTTATCAGTGATTATTTCTTATAAACAGATTTTTTTTTTTAAAGATTTTATTTATTTATTTGAGACAGAGAGAATGAGAGAGAGAGAGCACATGAGAGGGGGGAGGGTCAGAGGGAGAGGCAGACTCCCCGCCGAGCAGGGAGCCCGATGCGGGACTCGATCCAGGGACTCCAGGATCATGACCTGAGCCGAAGGCAGTCGCTTAACCAACTGAGCCACCCAGGCGCCCCTAAACGGATTAATTTTTTAGACTTTTCTCTATTTCCCGATTCCTTACAAGCATGAATTACATTTTAATTAGGAAAAGCTTTTCTGATCAACAGTCTGTTCAGTTACTACATGTGCTTGTGTACTGCATAGCTTATATGCTATTGGTAAATAGGAGAATACATAAGTATAATTTATACCCAATTTTTCCCAGGCAAAGGGGGAGGGAATAGTAGAAATATTATAACCTTCAGTGGGAGAGAAAAAAAAATTCTCAGCTTTGATGTCACCCTGGCAGCAGATCTCTTTCAGCTTTATCGTAAGAAAATTCAATAGGAGCCCTTGTACACAGGATGCTTTCCCAGAAAGGCTCTGCCTCAGGTGTCTACCTTACTCCTACCTGTCCCACTCTAGCCAAAGAGTCGCCAGCACATGGCCTTTATCATTTGAGAATTTTAAATACCAGCTGTGCCAACCTCCAGCCACACGGGAGCCACATTATCTTTCCAGGTACTAGTAACCATTTTTGTTAGAGCTGTTGCTACAGTTCCAAAGACTTTTGAATGGCTTGTTATCTATCCCTAGGAGTCCTGCCATTTAGTGCACATTTTGCAGAATGGGAAGTTTTTCAGACACATCACAATTTAGCAGAAACACCTGCATGTTGCTGTGTTGATTGCTTTGGAATTTCATTATTTTAATTTTTAGTTCCTTTACTGTGATGATTTGTTTTAAACAATTTTTGACAAGGACAAATGGATAATAGTCCACTCTTCACATGAACGGCACGAAGTTTCTCTTTGAACTCTAACTTGAGTATCTAACAATATTCTATTAAGATGATGACAAGACTATATGTACAGTATGTGCTGCCAAAAAACAAGGAAATAATTTAGCTGCAGAATCCAATTCTTTCTAGACCTATAATTACACTGTTGCCGAATCTGCAATCCAAAGATGCATCAAGACTGGACTCCTGAGCAAGTAGCTGCCTCTCTGTAAGTAGGGTTTTTAGGAGCAACAGGAGAATACTCTTGACTAAAATGTCTATGCTGAAGGCTCTAAATTGCCAATAAGAAGTTGACACTGTGAATCCTTTCCCTATGTCTTCTTATAAAAGTGTAGGGAAATGTCTGTTACTGGGATCCATTGAGAAATGAAATACTGTGATAATTTCCAAGTTAACAGTGTTTAACCAATTGCAACCCAATTTTAATCAAACCGTTCCACGTACGGTGTTTTTTAAGAAGGTACCAGTAACCCCTCCTCGTCGTCCCAGTTTTGCTCTTAGGCCATGTCCCTGCCGGCTCTCTTTTCTGTGGAGCTTTTGCTCACTCCCATTCCTGTTGCAAGCTTTCACCACCACTTCCTTCCACAACTCTCGTCCTCCCTTCATTTAGTAACTATTTTCTATGTGTTTACTGTATGCCAGGAAGAAAGTGTTATTTCCCTCCTGCCCCAGGAGAAATGTGATATTTTATTTTCCCGACTTTTAAGATATCCTGTTCCTTAAGAACCTAGGTTGTATTATATCCTGAGCTGGGGGACTAGTTAAGGGAATTCACTTCTACCATTTTTCCAGGGACGTTGTGGCTGAGTATCCAGTGGGGAGATTCTACGGGGAGAGGATGCTGATGTGGTAAACAGCAATGAACTGATGACCAATTCAGCTGATTTTAGTCCTGGTTAGGGAAAGCCTATGCTTATCTAGAAATAACCAGAACAGTAGTAACCATAGAGGATGAGGGACTTTCTATTCACTCTGCATTATATTTACTTCCTGATATTATTTTGAAAATCAGCTTTAATACATGTAGTGTTAACACTACTCTTTGTAGGCCCTTCCTTACAGGCTTGTCTATTTGGTATTTTTGTGGTGTCAGAATATTCACTGTAGATTTAACTTTATTTTCAGGTCCTGAGATAAAAAGAGCTGTCCATTTGGGGAGTGGCAAGGGTTGCTCAAAATCAGACTTCAGTGGTTCAAGAGCCAAACCACATGAGAAGAACTTGGGCCTGTTACACTGTAGTTTTAATTCATTTTTAAGATGTTCTAATGAAAGTTACAAAACGATTTAATCCAGTGTCCTACTTGCAGAAGTCTTCATATTTCTGGTTGTTTAGGGAGGAGTGAGACATACACCTTTGATAATATTATTTTTCAAGTTTCTGCTTAAAACAACAATTGCTAAGAACAGAAGGATACCTGATATATTCATTGTACACAATCTTAAGGTATGGGTGGGGACCACATGGCATTGTTTCCTATTCACCTCACTCATCTGGTAACTGTTACACTTTAAAAATTGGCACCACTTCTCTTTTTGCCAATAAGAGACATACTTTTAAAAAGATGGGTGGATCTCTGATGGAAAAAAAAAAATGGAAGGGTGAAAACAGATGTCATATATTAGGGGAACACTTATTCTAAGGAGATTGGAATTAAATAAACTTATATTTTAAAATCTCTGTTAAGTACTATGTACTTCAAAAATTGATTGTTTAGGGGCACCTGGGTGGCTCAGTCAGTTAAGTGTCTGCCTTTGGCTCAGGTCATGATCCCAGGGTCCTGGGATTCAGCCCCACTCCGGGCTCCCTGCTTAGCAGGGAGCCTGCTTCTCCCTTTCCCTCTGCTGCTCCCCCTGCTTGTGCGTTCCTCTGTCTCTCTCAAATAAATAAATAAACACAATCATTAAAAAATGATTGTTTAGCTAGTGAACTAGTAAGATAATTAAGTTTTTTTAAAAAATAGACATAATGTATTAAAATTATGTCCTTTCAAATGTAGTAAAATTAGGTCCTTTCAGCCATTGTTCTTGATTGAATCATTTTATATATATATATAAAAGGGAATTCACTTCTACCATTTTTATTATATCATATATATAAAATAAAACCTAATAGTAAACATTAGGTTTCGCCTCCATAAAAAGAGTATTCTAGATTCTCAACAAGAATGAAAGAGCAAAATTATGATAAATGTGTTTTTTCTTTCACAAGATCATGGATCTCAAGTAACGCAATTTATATAGAAAGAATCACCATTTTGTTTATGCACCTTTTCCCTATTTTTCTGGAGATATAGGCAGGTAGGGGTGATACTGAAACTATTTAACAAGTGGTAGAACAAAGGCACCAACCAATCAGAAGAGACGTCTGCTATACGTTGCACACCCGGGCTTGCCAGCCCAACATGTATCCTTAGATACATGAATCACATATATAATGTAACCAGATGCTTAAGATGGGGCTTCTTTAACATCCGCTAAGTTTTTGCTGCATATAAGTTTTAGGTGTAAGCATGTACAGGTGAATGAAAGCATTTCTCAAGGTATCTTTTGCTTAAAACTCTAAAAGTAAATTTATTTCATATCTCTTAAAATATTGCCTTCTCCAAGCAGTCTCAGAGATGGCTGTCTGAATATTTGGATTGATACTGACTTTATTTGGATGAGAATATACCTCTAAAATATTTTCAGAATCAATTCTAAGTGGCCATGTCAGATGCTCAAAGGCTATCCCAAGTGGATCCTTTTCAACTTTCCTGTGTTCCAGAGCTACCCAAGAGCACAGATGGCTTTCCAGAAGGTGACAATGAAGAAAGTCTCACAGAGAAGCCTTAAAATAGCTTTTCAGTTAATTTGGGTTTTCCTTTGGAAATAGCCAAGAGTTTCAAACCACAGCTCGTCACAGCTGGCTGGAGTTGGGGGTACTCCACCTCACAGCTTGAAGTGATCAAATATCTGGCTCTGGGTCACAGATGCAGGAAGTTTCTTCCTGGGCCTTCTCATCATGGCTATTTATGATATGAAAAAGAAATTAAATTCCTTGGGAGTAAAGATCAATAATCCTTCCCAATTTTGCTGAGTAACTCTCACTAGATGAAATATTCTGCCACAAGACATTATTGGGATATGATTGCTGATAAAAAGGAAAGAAATGACATCATTGAGTCACATGTAAGACACAGCAGGACAGCCAAGAGGGTGAGAGATAAGATATAGCTCCTAGGTAACCATTCACAACACGAGTGGGGATTGTTCTAGAAGAGAAACAAAGAGCAACTCTATTCCCTGTGATTGGATTTAAGAGAGACAAAGCCAGAGGGACCTTAATAAGGAATGGCACAACTCAATACTTAGTACTAGGCCAAATGATTGTTTGCAAAAAAAAAAAAGCAGAACCGAGTCAGTACATAACCTTACTACCTGCAATATAGTGAAATAAAACTCATATAAAGTTTAATTATCACAAAATCAAACCACTTATAAAACTAAAAGCAAAATAGGGAAATATTTGCTCCCTGGATAGGGAAGGGCTTTCTAAAATATAATGCAATTGAAAATATGACAATGGAAAAGACAAATAATTTGATTAAACAAATTTTAAGACTTGCCTATTTCAAAAATTCCCATAAACAAAATTGGTAACAAATGTGAGAATAATGTTCCTCGATGAGATCACAAAGAGTTGATATTCTTTAATCTATAGTCTTTAAACTATTTAATAAAACCCATGAGATTCCCAAGAACTAAATTTTAGAACTAAACTCTTCAATAAAACCCATAAGACTCCCAATAAAGAACTAAAACTAAAGGTCATTAAATGGAAAAGACAAATGGCTAATAAACAAGTGAAGAAAGTACTGCTATTTTAGAAATCAGAGAAATAGAGATTTAAAAAACCATTTTACACTATTACATTAGCTGAAAATTTAGTGATGGAAATAGAATGTTGATAATCAGGATAATAATAATGTTGATAATAGCAAGGTAACTCTGATACATTGATAGCAAGATTGTAAAGTGGCACAACCTTTCTAGAAAGAAATTTGATCATATATATTAGGAAGTTTTCAAAATGTTGATGCCTCCTTTACCTGCTCAGGACATAATGGTCTTCACTTTATAATTGGGTATATGATTTAAGATGCAAATATCTCTGTGGTTGTTATAACAATAGGTTGCATTTATAACAAGTAGTACACAACTGGGATGGTGCTTCCTGAGAAGAGATTTTGACAAGTGGAGGGAAAGAGAGAACAAGGGACTGAGTTTCTGTAGTGAGAGAGAAGCGGGGAGAGGTCTAGATGGGGGGATTGTCAGGCACGTAAGATGTGCAGATATTTACTGCACGAGAGGCTAGGCACAGGAAAAAAACCAAGCCAGTTGCTTCGTTGTTTTGGAAAAGGTTGGCTTTTTTAAGTAGGATGTGAGATAATAGAGGGAAGAGGACCGAGGACAGAAATGAATAATACCAATGAAAACAGAGCATGTCCAAATTCACTCTGGAAACATGTTATTCTAAAAAACAATCCACTGCACAGAAGATAATAAGCATAACCTCAAAAACACCTGGAATATGGAAATACTTGAGTAACTACATTGATTATCAGTACTTTAGAGCTCTAAACTTAGCAAATGCCTAAAGCATTAAGTACTTTACACAAAGCCCCAGAGCCAGTTAATCCCATTTCAACACTTCCTAACAGACTGATTTCCTTATAAAAACAAAACAAAACAACAACAACAAAAACATAATGCAGACAAAATTGCTAAAAAACATTCCTGAGAATAACCTGGTACCTACCACTGTGTGGACTTGGTCATAGGTGCTCTGGATTTTCCCATTTACTTTTTTACCTGACAGAAACAAGGAGAAAATAACATTATTTTCATTCTTTGTGTTCCTAAATTAATTCTTCCTACTCATTATGAAGAACTGTAACTCCTGTTCTAACTCTGACATTGTTAATCATCTTAATTTGTTTGCTATCATTTAAAACCCTGATTCCAATGAAGTTTGAATGAAGGGATCACAGGAAGAGAGCCCAGGGCCCCCTGAAGTCTTTTTATGTTCACTTTTACTGGCCCAGCTTTCAATTCCAAACACCTGCACACATTACTGCTGTTTTCACTCAGTTGGTGCTCATAGATCTGAGATTGATTTAAAATACTACAATGGCCAAAGAACTGTTATCAATGGAGGCATCAAACATCAGCTTATCATTTTTTTTTTTTAAAAAACCACACATTAATATAAAGGGTTCTGAAATACCAATACTCAAATTCTGTTCACTTTTGTATTTTTTTTTTTAAGTACTAGAGGATGGGAATTAACTCATCTCATATTTAAGAATAAAATAATTAAAAATTCAGTACTTAGGAAAAAAAGTAAGAATTACAGAAAGCTCACTGAAGCAGTTCCAGGTACTTACTGCCAACAACAGTCTTGTGATTGAAAATCTTACTCCAAATTCCACCTTCTCCATTGTCTTTCACTCCGAATTCATAAACTGTGTTGGGTTTTAGATTTTCCACAATTGTCTCAGTGGCCGGACAGAGTTGAAAAACCCATTTCTTTTCCTTATCCTTTTCTCTATAGCGAATCGTATAGTATCTGTTGAATAACCAAAATACGACGCTTGAAATTCACAGGGATGTTCAGAAGGCTATTTCGAGTTTCTTAATACACCACAGACTCCCATCTACTTCAAAGACTGTGTTTAATACTGGCTTCTGTTATTTTTTTTAGAAATTGTAGAGAACGTGAAAAAAATAGCTCAGTGTGTACTTAAGTTCTAATCCTGAGTTGGAGCGCATGCAGCAGCGCACTGACTGACAGAATTCAGACCTCTCAGTTCTATTATTCGCTACTTTGCAAAAGGAAAGTTGGAAAATGCTGGATGTTCATTTTTTTCCAGTTATGCATAGAGCAGAGCATAGATATAATTTTGTAAGTGCGTCATATTGTAGTTTTATAGCTGGATGGGTTTAAGCCTGGAACTGCATGGGTTTATGCCACGGAATGTCCACCAATGTAGTATTGTTCAATTTTGTAAAAGGGGGACCTGAAACTCTAAGTTGTATCGAGGACTGCATTCTAAGGGTAACATTTTCTTATCATTATAAAAATAGAATCAAGACCAAAGCCAAGCTAAGGGTACAATGAAAAAAATGAAACAATGCAAATTTAAGATCATGGTTACGTATAGGCCTAGGGCTTGGTAATATTCAGCCATATATATGGTAAAGTAATGATAATCCTCACCCCTTTTTTTGCACTTGTATCAGATGCAAGGTTTTATGTATATTATCTCATTTAATTGTCCTAAAGTCACCTTAAGTGGTAGAAGTTACTAATCCCATTTTATAAATGTGAAAACAAGGGATTCAGAAAGATCACTTAATTTGCCCATTGTTACCCACCTAGTGACTTTAACCAGTGGCAGAACCAGAATACAAAGACTCCTCTTGACAATGCTCTAAACAGCCTCACTAGGTGGGACAGCAGATCAGGACAGGGGATTTCATTAGTACTGTACATGGTAACAAGAATGAATGAGCTAGAGCTACATGTATCAGTATGAACAGATTTTACAAGCAAAATATTGAATGAAAACAGCAAATTACAAGATAATACATATAGTCTCATACGATTTACATAAATACCGAAACGCTCACAAAAAAACTACGTTACCATATATTATTGTTGGCAGTGTAAAGGGACAACAAATACTGTAAGGATCTAATATTTGTGTTGGAGCTTTAGCTCCCAGTGAGATGAGATTAGAGGTGGGGCCAACAGGTAAATTTCATCTGCTTTTTATTTGTGAATAAACATTTTCAGTAAATAAAATAATACCTGTCGGGTATGATGATGGACACATAGGTATTTGTTGTATTATTTTCAGTTCTTCTATTTTAAATTTTCTCTAAAAAATTTAGTACCTCTCTCCCA